CCAAGGAATACTCAACTTGTAAAAAAATTGGATCCTTAAATGCCTGGCATATTTTCATCCATAAAAAGTATGCACAATAAACTCTGCTCTGAGGACTTTTCTGTGTTCTATAATTTATACCCTGTATAATGTGTATTTCTTGCACTATCTTTCTTCTTTCTAAACACCTTTGACCTATTTTCTACAGGATATTTTGTTACAGTTATATACAGTTGTTTTCCAATATAAAATGTTTTCATTTCTGGTTAGAATAACTTTTGCCTTTGTATATTTGCTTTATTTTAAACATTCCCTATACTTTTAGCTGATACTCCAGTAGCAGTAAACTGAGGCTGTGATTCAGTCCTAACAAAATAAATGTTTGTTAACTCTTTTAGCTAAAATTTTTTATAGATATGATCTATTAACAGACTAAAATGCAGCTTCCATTTTGATTGCTTCATTCTGCATTTTTTTCTTTCCCTAGTTTTTTACTCAAGTTTTTAACAGGGAAACACTCACACCTGGCTTTGGTGCCTGATGACTGAGATTTATTACTTAAATTCTAAATACATTTGTATACACCATACATCCTATCATTAAATGGAGGAAAATGGAAAACCAGCAGTTGACTCCTTTGTAGCGATGTTGTGTGTTATCAAGAAACTTGTGTAATAAATGGGCATTTCAGTGTACCATTTGTGCTCCAGAAAGCATTGAATTTTTGTTGCCCTTGGCCATGACAAATTTCAAACAAGTGTAGACTGACAGAACAAATGACAGGCATGTTTTGGGATTATTTCAGAAGTTCCATATAGTGAAGATAATGTTTTTAAAGATTAGTAACTTGCATACAAGAGAAATTTAAAAAGCAGAAACCCAACAATTTCTGGTTACAGCTTGAATTTATTTTAAATGCTGATGAAATAGGTATATTTTACCAGTTACCTCACCTTTGCTTCATGCCTGAGGTAGACTTGCAGAGAAAGTAGATGAGTGGTTTGCTCTATTCTGCTGTAGTGCATTTTGGACCATTCACCACTGATGGGTCAGCTGACTCTCAGTGCTTCAAGATGTTCATTTGTTTCTCTGTGAGTACCAACCAACCCAGCATACATGTCTAAATGATAACAAATTTATTAATGAGTGAATGGTGCAAAATACAGCATCTTTTTTCTGGTAAAACCTTTGTTTTCTCTACAACATATTCCCATGTTTGAATCATGTACATGTTGAGTTTCCCGGGTTGAATTGCGCAGCCATTGTACTATCTTCTGACCAGGTTATAATTTTTTTTTTTTTTTATAGACATAGCACATGATGTAGAACAGAGTACAAGGTCATCAACAATGGTTATCAACATTGTCTCTTGTTTCCTTAAAAGGAATTGTCCATCTCATTAGATATTATAAAGCCCGACAAAACAGTGGAGAACAAGACCAATAAAACTTAGGCATTGTGAACATTACAGGACTTCCAAAGGAGACAATAGTCAAACCAGAATGGGCATCTTTGTGAATCTTATTGCCTTCAAATTAGTTGCCTATACCTTCAAACTTGCTACTATCGCACAGAATGGAACAGAGTCTAATCAGTCAAAACAAGATCTTGGGAGTATTACAGGACTTCAAAACAAGTTAATAGGAGATCAAAAAGAGTTACTACTATATATCCTAATTTTTTAAGTTTTTCCCTTAATTAAAATAAACATAAGAAATAGCTAAATAATTTTTTTAAAGAATAGTAGTTACCATAGTGTCTGTCTTTTTCCTTGAAATATTTGGATAAAACTTCATATACTATAGCTTCAAATATTTCCATATCAAAAAGCCCAGAGTAAAGCCTTTCTAATTAATAAGTGAAAATTTTATAAGGCTTCAAGGCCACATAATGGGGAATCATGATTATCACATATTTTTATATATTTGAATCATTACTTACATTAGGGAAACTATTCGGTATTCATACATGCGAGATTGATTTATTTCACTTATGAGTATGGTCTCAAGCTGCGCCCATTTATTGATAAATATCTCAATGCGATCCTTCTTTATAGCTGAATAATACTCCATTGTATAGAAATACCACAACTTTTTTATCCATTCCTCAGTTGATGGACACTTGGGTTGTTTCCAAGATCTGGCGATTACAAATTGTGCTGCTATAAACATAGGTGCACATATATCCCTGTGGTATGATGCTTTCAGTTCTTCTGGGAATATGCCTAGAAGTGGAATAGCTGGAATAAATGGGATTTCCAGTCCCAACTTTTTGAGAAACCTCCAGACAGACCTCCACAAAGGCTGTACCAGTCTACACTCCCACCAACAGTGCAGGAGAGTTCCTTTTTCCCCACAGCCTCTCCAGCATTTGTTGTTGTTGGTTTTCTTGATCCTTGACCAGGTTATAATTTAAACAGTGAAGGTTCACTACTGAAATCAGTTGTAGGAGCAGCTTCCTAAATACAGAAAAGAAAAAGACAACAAGGTCCATGTGAAGCAAGCTATTTACATGATTTGAGCCACAGTAGTCATCTACCTTGGTGAAATGTTGACAGACAATAGTCATAATTTTTGTAGAATCCTCCGAGGTACAGCTGGAAAAAGACTGCAACTCAAGGTGATATTTGAACCAGTTTAGCATTCATTGCTGGTGTCACTGGTGTCTCAGTTTAATTTGAAGACGTGACTACAGGTAGCACCTTAACTTTTCCAAGAGTTAGCAACACCTGAAACTGCTATAGGTGTACTCAGATGCAAAATTGGTAGCAGAAAGCCATGATGGGGGTGTTGAAGACATTGGCAATGATAACCATTATGTGTGTGGGGGACAAGTGATGGAGTAGCCAGCAGCAAACATTTCTCAAAACCCTTCCATTTCTAGAAAGTCCCTTCCATTTCTAGAAAGTAGAGAATCCCTTCCCTTTTAAGCAGATATTCCTTATGAAATACCCAAGTAAACAGTATAGATGAATGTTTAGTGATCAGTGCACAGTGTTTTGAAAAGTTGAGTTCTTAATATTCTTCATAACTATGAAGTTGAAAAACTAACTACCTTAAAGTCTGTTAAACAGAAAACTTGCTGAATAAAGAATACTTGTACAAACCAAGCATCATGTTTAAGCGAGTGTTTGACTCTTGTTTCATAACATTTATTGTGCAGCAAATTGTGATATTTCCCCAAGGAGTTTTATTACATCTTCATTAATTTAAGGTTTTGAATGGTTTGTTGTTCTCCCTCCTCCCAGCATCCACCTCCATCCAGGAAAGGGGACAGGAATTATACTTGGGAAAGTATTGTCAAGTTGTTGATAATCCAACTAGGAGAAAAAGTCTAACAGGCAACCGAGTAGAAATACCTGCTTCTTCTTGGGACAGTGGGTGCTTGGTTGACCAGTTAGAGAAGGATGAGGAAAAAGTGAGCTAGGGATGGATCTGTAGATCCACTGATTTAAGAGATGAAAAATAAAATAGCCATTTTTCCAAACAAAACTTAAAGCACCAAATTATGCAAAACAAGTGAAAACTTTATAAGGCTTCAAAGCCACGTAATGGGGAATCATGATTCATTAATTGGAATGGCTTTATTCTGGGCTGCTTGATATTATTGCCTGTGATGAAATGAACAGCTATTTTGAAGAAAACAAGAAATCATAATAGCTAGTGCTGATTTAATATCATCTTGTTTTGAAGTCCCACCAAACTGTTGCTCTTCTGTCTCCATTGGTTCTATTATGTTGTAACTTACTGGATTTTATTATGTGTGATAGTATAAACAAAAATTTTTATAGGCAAAGAGATAATATAGAAACCATTGTTCGTTTTCCATTAGCTGGTTCTAAATACCTTGTAATACTTTCATCCTCTTGAATGGTTTCACACTGTATTGATATGTTTGATGCTATAGTATACGAAGTCATATTCAAATATTTCAAGGAAACAGACATTATGGTAGCTACTATTAGATGGGTTATTTGGTGGTGAAGCACTGGGTTTCTGGAATTGTCATGCTTTGACCTATATTTTTATGTTGTTATGTCCTCTTTTATCTCACTCTCCCCCTTAGTCACACAAAAAAATTATTTTTTTATTTAAGGGGAAAAAATAAAAAAAATTAGCAGGATATATTATAGTAACTTTTTTGATTTCCTATTAACTTGATTTGAAGCCTTGTATTATTCCCACTATCTTGTTTTGACTGATTAGACTCTGTTCCGTTCTGTTTAATAGTATCAAGTTTGAGGGTATAGGCGACTACTTTGGAGGCAATAAGATTCACTATGATGCCCTTTCTGGTTTGACTATTATCTTGTTTTGAAGTCCTATAATGTTTCCAATTTTTAGGTTTTATTGGTTTTGTTCTGTACTGTTTTGTTCAATTTTATTATACCTAATGATATAGGCAATTCTTTTTAAGGAAGCAAGAGGCATTATGATAACCATTGTTGATAACCTTATATTCTGTGTTTACATCATGTGCTATGTCTATCCTTTGTTTTGACTGACTGCTTTGTTTTGTCATATTTGGTTTTATTCTCTTCAAAAAAAAAAGTAATAAGAACTATGGGAGTAATAAAACCCAAAATGTATAAATTTTGTTGTAAAAAAGAGAGGAAGAAAAGTGCTCTAAAGGATACAATTGCAAGTATGTTTAGGTGTGTTCCATATTATTGAGTTTTTGTTGGATCATTGAACACAACTGTTTGCAGTCTCACTGTTTGAATGTCCACTTTGTATGCTTTAATCCTGTAACTTGAACAACTATTTCTAAGATGACAATATGTAATCTATTAACTAGTGATTTCTTAACTTTTTTTTGTAATTCTGTGTTACTTGTACCCTTATACTGTTTTGTTTTTTTCTTTTTTCCTTTAAATAAAAAATTTTTAAAAATTATGCAAAATAAAAATTGACAGTCACTTTGGGTGCATGTCTGAAATTTAAAAGCAAAATAAATGTAGAATTTTTAAAAAGTTTATCAAAGAAACAATTATGAAGGGAAATATATTGTTTCACTTTTAGGTAATAAATCATCAGTCAAGATGTCTTCAGCATCTGACCGTCCAACACTGAAACAAGAACCACCCAAAGAAAAAGACTTTCGAAACCCAGGGCTCAGAGGGATGCGCACAACGACTTTATTTCGAGCTATAAATCCAGAGCTCTTCATTAAACCTGTAAGAATTATATCTAGGATAAGAATTTATATTAATCAGGCTAGTAGAATTATAAAGTTCTTATTTCCCAGCAGCATTTGATTTTATCATAGATATTTTATGTTGACCCCTTTATAAATAAAACCAAAGTTGATTAAACTGCCCAGAGTTTAAGACTTTCAGCCAACTGAAAAAGATTGACCCTTCTTGTTTTGCAATTAAGACTTAAAATACGACTGCAATAGTACCTCCATCTACTTGGTTTAACAGTTTCAATTACCTACTTAAAACCGTGGTTTGAAAGTATTAACACTTTGAAGAGAGAGACTATATTCACATAACTTTGCTTATGGTATATTGTCATTCTTTTATTTCATTGTTATTCTCACTTTGGCTCATATATAAATGAAACCATTACAGATGTGTCTGTACAGAAAAAACAGTTTAGGCTGAGGAGGGTTTAGTACTGTTTGTGATTTCAAGCATCCACTGCGGGCCTTGGAAGTTATGCTCCGTGGATAAGTTGGGGGGCTCCTGCACAGCACGAATGGAGACAGAAGTGGGACAGGCTACATATCACGGCTGTGCATCACTTAACCAAAGAAAAGCTGATTTGTTGAGAACAGAACATGCAGAAAGTGGAAACTGCATCACAGATTCAGGAATCAATTCTCTGCAAACTTTCCTAATTTTTAAAAGCCCTCTCCTACTTCCCAGTTCAAGGCTACATCACTTTGTTTCCTAAGATCTTGAGTTTTCTAGCAGTGCGTCAGTATTATAGCACCTTAATATATATTCTAAACATTAAATTTCTTGAGGTAATAAAGTAAGTTTCAATAAAAGTATATGTATATCGTTGTGCCTAATACAGGTTACAGAAGGCCTTTTGACACTTGTCCATGTTTTGGATAGCAAAAGCAATATGTCTGTTTTATTTTTCACTTCCTACTACACTAATTCAAGATTTGCAAATGAGACACTTGGGCCCAGAAAAGTTAAGCGCTTTCTCCATATCACACAGATACCACTGAAGATCGAGCACCAAACCAGTGTTCCTCGTTCCTGTCTGAGCTGTCAGCTTGCTAAGCATGGAGGTCTTACAATATCCAGGCTGTGGAAAGGAAAAAGACTGAAGAGGATATGTAGGATTATTCTATAGTCTTTAAATAATTAGGAGCTGAGCTAATTGAAGAATAATGATTATAATTGAAGTCTTGCCATGGGAATGCTAGTGTGGTGTTGCCAAGAGGAAAGTATAATAGATATTTGAATCTCCAATTAGCTTAATGAGTCTTTATAATTTTTTTCTTTGATAGAACAAACCTGTAATGGCTTTTGGATTGATATCACTTTCACTTTGCGTGGCTTATATTGGTTATCTACATGCAACACAAGAGAATAAAAAGGACCTCTACGAAGCTATTGATAGTGAAGGACACAGTTATATGCGGAGGAAAACATCTAAATGGGATTGAACTGCTACTTACTGCAGATGGAGTTTTCTTAATAACTCTGAAATCTTCAAATGAAGGACTTCGTGAGTGTACAGAATCATATTTCTAGTTCACTAATACGTTAATGAGGAAAGAAGATAGCTGTTGCAATCTTATCACTAGTAAATTTTGTCACTTTACAGCTGTAGCTGTTAAACTCATTATTTCTCCACAAAAAAGACTTCTCAATATTTCTCTTTTATTAGATCATCTTGTAAATGTACCTGGAGGATGGAAGTCATTTTTGTTTAGTTATTAAATTTGTACAATAAAAGTACCCATTGCTATTAAATTTTCATGAGATTTTTTTTAACATTATAAGGTAAACTATGCCTTTGCAGCTATTGTAAGAGTTTAGTATTATTTGCAAAAAACAAAACAAAAACAAAAACATGTTTTTTCTACCTGTCACTAAAACATGCATTTGTAAAGAAAGGGAAATCATAATTTTAAAGCTTCAGTCAGTATTAAGATATGAGAAATGAAAACTTGGTTGGCTATAACAATTTTTATACAGCTTTTAGTCACAGATGGTTCAAGCAGTTTGGTTTCTATTTCAACTGTTGGTTCAGAATTTTAATTGAGAAGAAGATCCCTCCTTCAGTTACTAAAAATCATGATTAAACAAGAGAATAAAAAGTTTAATAAGTGTGCTTTCCTGAGGCATGATTTTTTTTACTACTGCTAAATGTTACCTGTTTTGATTTTTGTAAATTTTATAAAGTGTTCTTGTGGTTAAAAAGTATAACTACTCATAGATAAGAAAGTTTTACTATGGAGCCCTAAATATTTCTTTGCTATACCTTTCCATGTAGTATACTTCCTATAGTTTAAAATGCACTTACAAAGGGGAAAACCCCCTATTTATTTAAATATCTTTTGCTTTTGAGTTCCCTGTGTATTTTTGTTGTCATATTTTCACACCTTAGAATTCTTTTACTAATCAACAAAATAAGTTGATATTCAGTATCACATTAGAGAAAATACTAGCTGAGTGAAATATCAAGACAAACTACAGCATACACAGCCTTAACCTATGTAACATCTTTGCTTTGGAACAAAGAAGATCTAGATACAGTGAAACACGCGGAAAAGACCAATGTGAAGGAGAAATCACACTGAATTTTAGGAACAACTACATAATTGTAATCTTTTCTATAGAGTGGTCATAGGTTGTAACACAGTCTTTGTGTGTGTGCAGGGGGTCAAAGGTTGCTGAAGTATGTATGGGTGTTTTTATTCATTCTCTGTGGAATGAGGGTATCACCTCAAAAAGTAAAATACCTTTTCAAATGATCACAGGATTTTGAATAACAAACTGAAAGAGTTTTGGCCCAGAAAGGACACTGTAGCGGGTAAAGCCAAGGACTTCCTATCTCCCCCTCCCCTAAGAATCTACCTCTGGCACCAAAGACCAATGGGCTACCTGTACATTCCTAATGTCCCCTTAGGTTCCACCCCAAACCGAGGCTACTGACGTGCCTCACTCCACGTGTTCCACGGAGAGATCGCCGACCTGGGATGGAGATGCCGCGCCCCAGGGGGTCAGGGGTGTCTCTCCCCGCATTCCCAAAATAAAGGTCATTTATATTTCATACTTTTCAGCCGCCGCCGGTCCCCCACAGTTCTATCACAAACTTCAGCTGGTCTAGCCCAGTCAGTTTGCAGTAAGAATAACAGATTGAGAATCATTCAGATTTACCCAGAATCACAGTGATTCTTATTCACCTCAGGGGTCAGAATCTCCTTGCTCCAAAGTCTGAGGATCTCTTCACTATACATCCTCTTATGTTCAGTAATGGGTAAGCAGTCACAATAGCCCTTAAATGTAAGATATTCAGATCTTAAGTACAGAAACATTCGTATGTTGTGAAGCAAAATAGTATAAAAGATTAACTGTTAACTCTCTCCGGAAAGCATCTCAATCTCCTGCTGATCAAAGTTAAGTTGTTAAACAGGGAAAATGGCACTTTAACAGTCATGTTTAAGAAGGAGATGTTCATGCGGAGATATTTGCAGTCTGAGTTCAAATGGCTAAAGAAAGATCCTTCATTGTGGGAATCAGCTTGAGTGTGGGCAAAACTGACATAATAGATTAGATCTTGAAGTAAGTCTTGGCAAATAAATTATTGTTTGATAAAGGAGAGTTTTGTTTGATAGGAGAGCTTTTTGCCCAAATCATCAAGCTGTTCACTGATAAATTGGCTTTCAAAAATTTCCTGATACAAACATTGAAGTTATTCATTGCTTTTACAGCTTTATCTTCCATAGGGTACCCAGCCCTTCTCTTTTGCAAGGCTCTAAGGGTTTCTCATGATGCAGGACTTCTAATATTTTTGTGGTTTGTTTGCTTGTTTGGTCAGTACTGGAGATTGCCTTTGCACTGAGCTATGTCCCCGCTGATAGAGTTATTTCCAAAAGATGAAAAATATTAACAAAAGATGAGAAATATAAAATAAAAAGCGGCCTTTATTCTGAGAACACGGAGAGAGATGACCGGCACCCCCACCGCTGGCGTCCGGTGATCTCTCCGGCGGTCACGTGGCGTGGGGGCCTGTAAATAGCCTCAGTTTGGGGTGGAACCTAAGGCGGGCATTAGGGATACACAGGTAGCCCATTGGTCCTAGGTTTGGCACCATATGTAAATTCCCAGGGGCGGGAAGATGGCATCACAGGTAACTTCCTAGGGGCAGGGCAAGATGGGGCTTCCTGCTTCCGGTTGTGGCTTTCCTGGCTACAGTGTCCTGTCTGGGCCAAAACCTTTCATATCCCGTCTTATGATTATTATTATGAAAAGGGGCGAAGATTTCTCTCTTTAACTACTTCCTGCTGGCAAAGGGTGCTGTCCTGGAGCCTAGGGGAGTCGACGGGATGAAGGTTGATGCCCAGGTAGACGCTGGTGCCAGGTGTTTTGGCCAGGACAACTTCACTGGTGAATGCACGTATGTCAGACTGGAAAAACAAAGAGACAAGACGTTATGATGAGACATGGCACTGTCATATTTAAGGACTCAGGTGAGGTAGAAGGAAAGGTGCCTTTGATTTAGACATATCATTCTATCAGGACCATGTTGAGGTATAAACATTTCCACAGTAAGGCAGAATTCTGAAAATTAAACGTGGGGTTAGGAGGAGTGGAGTTATGAGAGGTGATTACTCCCCCTTTCAATAGGCAGTCAGACCGGGCTAGGCCCTTGAAGAAGCTGGCAAAGAGGACCAGATGTCTGGTGACCTTGGAGGAAACACACACCTCTTGCTGTGGGCCAGATCTCAGGACAGAAGGCGGAACAAATGCAACCACACTCTTAAGTATAATACTTAGGGATTAAATCTGGATCACTTTGAGAAGCCAGGAGTCACCATCCCAGACCCCTATAGGAAGAGTCACTGATCCATAAAGAATGCTCTCTTGCTATGTGATTCGCTTCCCCATTTGTCCTTGATTTGGTATGAAGATTAGTTTGTTGTAGTGGGCATGGGAAACTAATAGAGAAACTGTCACGAAAATCAGTGGTTACATCATGCTGCCTTTGTCATTTAATTTCAAGTTGCTTTTATGAGCAAAGCTTGTGTTACCAAGCAACAGTTGCTAAGTAAGGTAACAACTTAATGCTAATATCTAGAGGACAGCACTAGCTTACAACTCCCCAAATCCAGGGCCCTTCCATTATATGAGAGGCTTTTATACTATTCTTTAATGTTAGACACATAATTTATGGTAAATTATTTTGTCCTTACCACCTTTTAGTATTATCCTAAAATCCTGAACTTCTTTCAGTTTAAATGTCTGGCTTCTTTTAAGGCTACTTTTGCTGATCCTAAGATGAGTTTAATTAAGATGAGTTGGTTGTAAAAAGATAGGCAAATCCTGTGACCAGCTCAGAGGACTCATCTGAAATTTAACTATGATCAGAAATTCAGATTACACAAACTTTGTTTGCTGTGCCATTTGTAATAAAATAATTCCACCAGCTCCTTTTGGGGAAACCTTCAAAAAGATCCATGAATACAAGCCATTTAAGACACGGTTTTATACTCACAAGGATATACTGGGTAAGTGACTTCATGGTTTTTCTTTATTTTAATTTTAATAGCATTATATGCTATTGTTTCTGTTACATAGACTTAGCACATTTTCCCTAGTTAAATTTGCTTGTCCCTCAGGGGTGTCTGGGGTGAAGGGATACACATTAGAATCCAGTTATGTGTATTAGATAGAGTATTTGGCCTTCCAAACTGTTTCTTTATGTGTAAATAAGAATATTAGTATATATCTTTTATAGTGTCATAAAGTTTTAATGGAATATTTGTACCTATTATAACATCTGGTACATTCAAGGAAATGTGAGTTCTTTTTACTCTTGCCTCTACTTTTTACCTTTCAAATGTGGAAGACAGGAAATACCTCTAATATCCTAATAAACAAGAAGAAACTGTATTGTTTAATCAGTAGCTAGTGACATAGAAGTAGGGACATATAAGAATGTGAAAAAAACTCAAGAAAATCAACTGTAATTATAAATTTCCATCTCATTTAAGCATAAAATGTATCAAGAGCCAGCATTAGTATCACATTTTTATGAAGTTCAGCATTTCGGTGGTCCATGCTTACACTTCTTTTTAGAAAAATCTGTCATGATTGTATCTGCACAGTGGTAAGCGTTTGTAGTACAATGCATATCCGTCTCTACCCTAGTATTTGTTGACCTATGTTTTATGATTCTCTAACATTCTAGTGGGAAAGATCCTATGCCACCAAACATACATTTAGTTGCAGGTGATACACAATTCAGAACAGACTGTGCATAAAATGGAATTTCGTTACTCTTTAAACAGAAAGATTTGAAGATCTGGCATCAGACTTCCAACTTGTTATGCTTACTCTCCTAGTGAGTTGGCTTATTTACTAACTGCGGCAAGGTTTACCCAGCAGCTAGGAAAGGAGGCGTATGGATCCCAATAGATCTGAGCATCTGTGACCTCCAGGTTAGACATCCCAGAGGAAAAAGCTGTGTTCTCCTAAGATCCTCGTATAAAATCGTAGGGCTGAGTTTCACTAGCCAGCCTTGAGCATACACCAACCATGGGTCCATTACAGTGGCCTAGAGGAGATACAGAAGACCAAGAAGATTGGATGCTGTGACTGGCCGTCTTACCAGGACAATCTCAAATGAAGGAAGGAACTTCCTGAGAGAAGAGGGTCTTGTTACTAGAGGGAGAACAGAGATATAGAGCAGACAAAACACACATGTTCAGTGTCTTAAGTGTGAATATTGCCAAGCTAGGCACCATGAGACTGGCTTTGTAATTGTAGGAAGTTGATCATCAAGACCTAACCACATGAAAAGTTACTAATTCAACTTTTCTAAGATATGAGACATGAATGGAGTAGAGAATAAGTACTTTGAGAGTTTATAGAGAAAATTACTGTAATTTCAGTACCCAAGCAGTTTATCACTCAGACAATAATTTGGGGCACCTCTGACAACCTTTTGGTTGTAAAAAGGTAGGCAAATCCGGTGACCAACTCAGAGGACTCAGATGTAGATTCCGGTTCAGTTCTGTCTGCATCTGATGTTGTACCATTCTTTAATCTTAGATTAATATGCTCTGGATAGAGAGGATATTATGGGCCTTTTATTATTTGGGAATCAAATTATATAACTGATAAAGAAAAAATATACTCTTCATTGTTAACTACATTTGAAGTAGTTAAGCCTATCACACATTAAAGGTACCTATGTAATGTTTTAAAGAAAGTATGTGGCTGCCACCCTCTTGACAGAGGTAGCAGCAGCATCCACACAGGGGTGAGAAGAGAGGAGAAGAAGAATGTGCTAATGTCTCTTGAATATACACTCACTCTTGTAATTTAGGTGTACAAATTTGTGCCACTTTCTGCAGGAGATTTAGTTCGCATAACCTGGGTGTGATTAAGTCAGTGATGACCCTACTCAGGCCTAATCGTGCCTTGAGTTCCTTGCTAATCAGAGAACATTTACCCGTACCATGGGTATCCTTAAAAATAGACTGCTGACTGTGAATGTAGTTCAGGGTAGGGTTTGTGCTTAGCAAACTGTGTTCACCTCTTAATACTAGAAAAAGAGAGAGAGAGAAAAATAAAGACAGAAATATCCATGTGGGGCATCACATGCCTGTAATACCAGCCCCAAGAGGCTGAGGCAGCAGGGTCACTCACCACAATTTTGAGACCAGCCTAGGCTACACAGTGAGTTCAAGGCCAACCTAAACTACATACTGAGACTCTGTCTCAAAAAAAAAAAAAAAAAAAAAAGGCCAGAGATATAGCTCACCATTTTAAGTGCCTGCCTGATGAGAACAAGGTCCTGAGTTCATTTCCCAGTACCCCCCCCCCCAAAAGACAGAAAGAAAGGAAAGAGAGAAAAAAGAAGTCAGTATCTCATAAAAGGATGTATCTCCTAGATGGGTCACATAAATAACCAATTAATGACAGAAAGAAAGCCAGGAAATAGTCTATGGAGATCCGTGATCATTTCTCTTTAAATACACAGATATTGGGGCAGATATTCTACATAAAGAAGAGCAGTTTCAAGTGAATGTACTCAAAGAAAGTATTGCAAAAGCAGAAGCTAAAGTGTGGGAGCAGGTAAAAGACATTAGAAATTAATGTAAAATGCATATGTATAGTTCTTTTACTTTTTGCATTTGTCTAAAGCAAAAGTACATCGTCATAGGCAAAAGCACTGCAGTCAGACACAACTGACTGAATCCTGGGTAGCTGTGGGTTCTGGGTACGTTCTTCAACCTCTGCAGTGGTGGCTTCTTCATCTACCAAAAGGTAATAATAATAATGATAATAATACCACCCATTCTATAGAATTATTGAGAGGGCTAAATGATGTATAGTATACCTAGCACACAGTAGGTGCTTAGCATAGACTGAGTCCCATCAAAAGCTTCCTTCCTTTTATATTGCCCACTTCATATGAATGACTGGCCTTCTTAGTCCAGTTTGATTAAAACTTGAAAAGGTAGATTGATGTAAATTATGATGACCTTGCTTTTCATATATATGCCATCCATTTGTGCTGTATGTAATGCCCCTAGACTAAATACCCATTTTTCCCAAAGGCTTCATCTTGTTCTGCTTTCTTTCTTGTTTTCTGTCTCCAAATTTTTGGTATTGCTGGCATAGGGTGTGCACCCATAATCCCTGCTACTTGAGACCCTGAGGTGGGAGGATCACTGAGTCCAGGAATTCAAGTCCAACCTGGACAGCATGGTGAGATGCTGACTCAAACAGAAATCCCCAAATCCTTGATGCTTTGTACATGTGACTGCTGAGTGGCATAGGGGTAATTTGAATGTTGGGATTCACAGTGAGCAAAGCCTCAATCTTGTAACTCCTACTTCTTTCAGTCATAGAATGACACAAATGGCTTCCTCAAGAGAAGTAAAGCTTCTTGAGGCCAAGACAAGCCACAGTGCTTACAATAATATTTCATGATTTCTTCACAAAATAAACATTACTGGAAATATTATTGGAACTGAGCATTAGTATGAATGCATTCTGAACAAAAATACTCTAGTGCAAACAGTCACAAAATTTTATTACTGATAAGTTATTTTATCAGTAATAAAATTCAAATTTCTCATGAACCAATAATTACTTATACAACATAATATAAGGCATATTTTTGTGAGTAATTGGGTTATATGTTTACCTAGTATTCTGGATAGTCTCTTCAAATAAAGCAATATCTTCTTTCTGAACTCTTCATGCAATCATACTCAACCTTCTGACTCAGCACCTTTCAACTGTTTGTGTCTGTTCAACTTCTGTGTTTTCTGGATTTTCTACCATGAGCATGTATTGCTTTGACAGTCAAGCAAGATTGTCAAATAGTGTCAGGGAGAAAAGAAACTTAGCAACCCATGAATAATCAACTTCCCTGTGTTTAACAATTGCTGAAGCAGCAGTGTTCGCCTAGGTGTGGGGTGTGTTCAGGGCACTGCTGGCTAAGGCAACCAGGGTGCTGTGGAAGTCTGAGGTGGGATTGAGTTAACAATTAGGCACCCACGGTGGTTGCTAATTTTCAGGAAATGGGAAAACTTGACCTTCCAACAGTCCCAAATAATGATGAGCTGCCCTCTGCTTATCTTGGTGATATTAATAAACTGGACTCTTTCTTTCAAAGGCCAATGAACGCCAAAAACAAGCAGTGGAAAGAGCACTTGAAGACGCAGATGTGAGACACAAATTTCAAATTCAGATTTTGGAAGAAAAACATCAAAAAGATTTACAGGTTTTCAAAACGGCTCGTGATCTTTTTAAAAATACACTAGTAAAGAAAAAATAAAGTACTTAAATTGGCAAGGGAGTGCGGGAGAAATGATAATATGTAAAGACTAGGTTGGTGTGTCACAGAGGCTGGGTGGGTGGGCCTGGAGGTTCACAGAAAAGACACTGAGCTCTGGGGACTATTGATGGTGTGAGGGGAAAAGCCCTCATAGCTTATTTTCTGAAGGAAGCTTTCCGCAGCAACGCTGCCCTGCCACCTGTCGGTGACACCTAGATCTAGATAGCAGCACCTAGATAGCAGCCATCATTGTTGTAATGAAATAATTGTGTGATTAGTTGTTTACTGTATGACCCCTCATGGCTGCAGCTTTCATCAGGGCGTGTCTCCCTATCCTTCCACTAGCTCTGGTGCCTGTTGCAGAACCTTGACTTAGCAGGGATATAAATGGTTGTTGAACAAGTCACATAGGCTGTTCTCCGCCTTCTGCACTTCTTGTTGCATTCTTTTCCCTAAATTCATGCCTTCAAGAGGGACATCGGAGCTGTCCCTCAAGTATTCCTTGCAGGACCATGGTCACAGGATGAAGGCAATGCTTTCTAAGCTGCAACTTGTTCAAGCACTTGATGCTAGGTAACTAGTAAAGTTTCTAGCCTTGGGGTTCATTGTTTAGTTTGATACTTCAGTTGTATAATCTGCTCAAAGAAAAGGGTATGAGACAATTTTCATGTTTGGCTAAGGGGGATAAACAGGATAAGACAACGTACAGGTGGCTGTTATATGGAAATACCTGGAAGAAAGTGGCCGAGGCCTGGCTCAGGTTTGGACTAATTTACTGAGAACATTAATATACAGAGACTCTGGGTCCATGCATTAAATTGTTTCAGATGAACACCTTCTATCTGCTGTAGTCTGTACTAGGTGAGATTAAAGCGGACTGCCCTTGCCCTTGGAAGACTAGTAGGTAAGGCTTCTGCCCCAGGATTCCAAATGAATAGGTGTGTGCTGCTTGTTGGGCATCAGTGGTCTACTTCAGCCAGGCGTGGCATGGTTCCCAAGGAGCAGGCTATAGTCCCCTGCACACCCTCAGTGCAGAGAGAGAGAGAAATACTGTGAATCGCCATCAAAACCAGAGACTCGCGAGAAACATAGGAATTTCAGTTATAAAACCTGAAAAATTTTTTGAAAGAGATATTGTATAAAGAAATATCTTTAAAATATTTGTACAGGAAACATGATGGATATTCATGAGGCTTTTTACCTCAAAATGTGGGCTCATTTACTCAAAATGTGTTTTAGTAAAAGCAGACCCTACATCAAATAAGAACACTACCATATAGCAGGTTATTGAATTATTTCTGGAGCTTAAAATACATATTCTACATCTAGGTGAAGCAGTAATATGATCTTAGTTTTACCAAATCTTAAATGAGAGACTGAGTTTAATTCTCTGAGTCCTAATTTAGATCATACCCAAAATAAAGGGCTAGGTATAATTTTAAAATTCTATGATTCAAATAGAAACATATGTATTATATGATACTTCATCTATCTGAAGCCCAATTACTTGTAGTCTTGATTATTAAAAATGTACTATAAAACTCAGAAATAAGCTAATATGTCCCCTTACTGAGCTAAATAAAAGTCTCTGGCTACAAGAAACAAAGTCAGGCTTATTTTCCATAGTAGGACCTCTATTCCCACTCCACTATCATCCCACTTACTGGCAAACTGAGCCCAAAAGAGTGGGTTGCTTGACTTTTCAAATCCAAAATAGAGTAAACTAAGAATGACAAAAAAGGGGGGAGTCATTGAAAACAGAAAGATAGTACTCAGCCCAAGACAGGGAAAAACAAGAATAATTGCGAATAACAAATATTAGATCTCCAAAATATCACAGCAATCAGATCATTTATGACAGAGACAAATATTCCTATGAAGTTGAACAATTGTTAAGTGCCATGTGAAGGTTTTAGGCCACTATAATCATTTCTCTTTATCTATTGAGACCATATCATCAAAAAAAATTAGTGTTTTAGTCTACTCTTTTTATGAAATTAGGTATTAAAGACAGTTGGAGACATTAACATCCAAAATATTTTATTAAAAGATAACAATTTGAAGTGCTGGGGATTTAGCTCAGCGGCATAAGCACCTGCCTTGCAAGCAGGCAGTTGTGAGTTCAATCCCCGGTACCGATAAAAACGAAAAAGACAAAAAAAAAAAGACAACAATTTGAGACAATACTTCTTTCAGGGTAAAAAAAACCAGAATTTCTAGCAGTGTTCTCCTAAAATGATTTTCAAAATACACTGGCTGGGGCCACTCTGAAGAGATAAAGTTGATTTTTGTGGTCTCTTTTTCTCTTTTCTTTGGAATAGCCACAGTGATAAGTTTAAAGATTGAAACCTTTTTTCTTTTGAAAAAACTGAAGTCTGTTAAATAATTTGGTTTTGGTGTTTGTTTGTTTGTTTTGGTGTTGGTTTTGCATGCAGGTCCTCATGCATGTAAGAAGCTAAAAGCAATTTGTTTTACTTCCAACGTCAGCTTAGGATTCTCTTTGGATGCAACATAAATGGCAGTGACTCCCTCGGGCCCCCACAGAAAAGGGTGTTCAGGGAAACTGAGCAACCTTCAGCCAGAACGTTTATTGTTTTTGTTCCTTTTAACTCGAGTAAGATTTCATTTAAAGGAGAGATTATGCTATTATAAAAAAAAAGTGCACTATACTATCTTATGTGCATGTACAGGGTTTCTGGAATGAAACATAAATAAGTGAATCTTTTTAAAGAGTGTGGCATCTCACTGCAGCAATGAAGGGGGAAACTGGAAGTTGGGAACTCCAATTTTTCCCCTAATTATGTCACTAACGTGTTTGTGAAGCGATTTATTTATGTTCTCCTAATGTCTTCCTTTTTAAAAATAGAGATAAAAATTAACTTTGAATGACAGTTTTGAAACTCATGGATAGAATTAATCACCCCTGCTTTCTTGTTATAATTTTGCTACAGCACCCAGTACACAGGTAGTTGTCTCCTCCACCCCCAGGGAGTCCCCTGAGAATAAGGGTCTTCCTGGCCTTCTCTGTTTGTAGCATCTGGTCTAAGCAGTGGCGACACAGCTTTCCTTTAGCAATGTTTATAAAATTCTTCTGCCGAGTGTTGGTTTGACTGGTGTGTCCTCTTTTTATTTGGATGAAAGTCGTCTATAGATCTTCCAACCATAGAACAGTAGAACTCTTTATTTCTGTCTCTTTCATTAATGAGAAAGGGCCCCTGCGTGGTGGCTGTCTCAGGAGTGCAGACTGAAAGACAGATTCTGGTGACGGGAGTAACGTGTATCTGTTTTCTGCCTGAGTCTTAGCTTCCTTCCTACCCCCGCAGACACACTGCAGATACAATTAGTTGTGTCATTTTACTGTGTATAGTGATAGTATGATAATCAGGAAAGAAAGACTTGGGCTGGGATTATAGCTCAGGGTTACAGAGCTTGCCTAGCATGTAGGAAGGGTTTGATCTCCAGCCCTAAAAGACAAAACTTTAACCTTACCTCCTAACCAACATTTTTACATATTCCTTTTCAATATGATCTGTACAGTATATATTTTTGCTACATAATGTATACATTATTGGCTTTAACATGTGAATAAAAGTTCTCTGTATCCTCTAGAATGTTGTTTTACATCATCAGTATTAACAGGCAAACATTTCATCAAGTAGATGAAACTATGATTTAGACCCAACATCTTAGTATTTATCCTAAAACCTCAAAGCTATAATATCCAAACTAACTTTTTTTCATTTAAGGAAATGGCAGATAAAACCAAGACAGAAGTGTTTCAAAATGTGGGCGAGGAAATGAAGAGGGAAAACCTGGCTGCAGAACAACGCATGGTTCATCGAATCCAGAGGATTATGGTGGAGTGCCACAGAGAGAAGATGGAGGCGGTGCAGAAGGCCAGGGAGGAGGAGCGGCAGATCGCTCAGCTGGCCCTCAAGGACCAGAAAAGGTATGTCAGAGAACACCCTGCAGATGTGCGCTTGGCTTTACCAAAGTCCATTTGGAAGAAGGGGTAAGGTACATAGGTAGATATCGCCCAGTTTTTGTTTTTATATTTTTATTGTGAAAGTTATCAAACATGAATAAGTTATATTAGAGAGAAGGTTTATTAAAAAGTAGTAACATAATTACTCAAGGATCTAACATCCAATTTAGCAAATTTAGCAAATTTTAGCAAATTTAGCAAAAAAAATATTTCTGAAGCTCCTATATGTTCCTTCTCAGTTATATTTCCTTCACTCCTCTTTTCCACAGATAACTAGTCATCTAAGTGTTATGATCTTCATTCTGTATCTCTAGTTTTAAGAGGCTGAAGAGAGAAATCAATTAACATTTTTCCCATAGATACATAGAAGTAAATTTACATTTATGTATCTTAGCCTAGTTTATATGCCACTGTAGATATGCTACTTCTTAGATATTTTTCTTCTTAGTAATATGTGTTGCAAAAGTTGAGTTTATGACAATGTATAAATCAAAACTCATAGGTCCTGACTTATTTCTTTCCCATTCTCCTCTTCTTCCTATAGACAAAGGTTTTATACAATAGGGTCTCTATCCTCCCATAGTGTTTTGATGTATTGATAGCCTGTGCATAGTCACAAACCATTTTTAGTAAATCAAGTCGTATATACACCGCAGGGAGCATGTGCAGCATACATAGATGCACACCAAGGCCATCCTTTCTGTGTAGGAGATGAGCATTTGATGAAGTGTGACAGTTGTCAGGATGTGAGAGCTCGTCAGCTGCAGAGACAAACGCGGCTGCCCAATGCTCAGTGACCAGCCCAAGGTCACTAAGTTGTAGCATCAGAACCAAGACCGAGACCACCATGTTTGACCTCCTGTTTGTTTGTTGATTTAGTTAATAAGAAAATCCATTTGAATATCATCAAATAAGATCTTTTTCATCAGTAACTGTGAAATCCCGGAAGGGTCGCAGACCGAGGATGAGGGCAGCAGTTTGCTCACGTGTTTCCTCCTGCACCGGCCGTAACTCACTGTGCAGTGGAAGGCAGAGCAGAGCCAGAGCCGCAGGAGGGACCAGGGAATCGGCTGCGGGCCGGTGTGGGGAAGGTGGCCTCTGCTCCCTCACCACCTCCGTCCGCAGGACTCCACCCCTCCCCAGAGCGCGGAGTCTGCTTCTCATGCGTCCTTGTCGGCCCCTCATCCCTCCTCGGGAGGCCTTGCCCTTTCCTCTGGGAGGTTTGCATGGAAAAAAAAACCACTAAGATTAGAGAGCTGATATGTGTATTGTTTAAATACATCCAACTAGAATGTCTCTTTTATTCATGGTGTTTCCCACATGCCTAGAGGAGAACATGACACATAGTGAATTCACTGAGCTAATAGTTAAATAAAAAGTTTTTTGGTGTTTTTGAATCAAGGTCTCCCTGTGTAGCCCAGGCTGGCTTTGAACTCACAGAAATCATCCTGCTTCAGCCTCCCTGTTGCTGGGATTATAGGCATGGATCATTGTGCCCTGTGGTTTAAATTTATTTTGATCAGCTGAACTCTATAGCATACCAGATCTTATTTCCAGACATTGCTTAAAATAAATAAAATATTTTTATTCGTATTTGTGATACATAATGTATTTATTATAGGGAACTGATATCTGTACATATCATGCTTTAATCCTTTTTACTTACCCTTCCTTTCCCCCCTCCCGTTCCCATCGCTCTATATCCCTTTCCCATTCACAAAACATCTATTTCCCATTTTCTATTATTTTTAACATTGTTATTTAAATTAATTATACTTTGGATTTCTCATAGAAGAGAAATTATGTGATATTCAAGCTTCTCTTCTTGATTTATTTTACTAATCATTATAGTCTCAATGTGCATCCATTTTCCTACAAATGACTCAAATTTATCCTTCTTTATGGCAGAGTAGTACTCCATTGTGTGTGTGAGTGTGTGTGTGTGTGTGTGTGTGTGTGTGTGTGTCACATTTTATTTACCCATTGATCTGCTGGAAATAAAGGCTGCTTCCAAGATTTAGCTATTATGAGTTTTTTTTTTGAATTTTTTTTTTTTATTTAAGAGGAAAAAGAGAAAAACATGATACAAACCAAAGCGGCGTAAGGGTACACGCAATACAGAACTACAAAACAAAACAAAACAAAACAAAACAAAAAAACATAACAGTAAGAAATTACCTGCTAGTAGATTACACACTATCTTCTTGAAAATAGTTCCTCAAATCACAGTATCAAAGAACACAAGGTGGACATTCAAACAGAGAGACTGCAAACAGCTGTGTTCAATGTTCCAAAAACATTGATAAAGTCAGCTATTTAACACCCCCAAACACACTTGCTGTTATATCCGTTAGAGCTCTTTTTCTTTTTTTTTTTCCCCTCTCTTTTTTACAACAAAATTTACACATCTTGGATTTTATTACTCCTTAGTGCTTATTACTTTCTTTGGGGCGGGGGAAGAATACAGTCAAATATGGCAAAACAAAGCTGTCAGTCAATACCAAGGATAGACAGCACATGGTGTAGAACAGAGTACAAGTTTATCAACAATGGTTATCAACGTTGTCCCTTGTTTCCTTAAAAAGAATTGTCTATCTTATTAGATATTATAAAGTTGGACAAAACAATAGAGAACAAGACCAATAAAACTTAGGCATTGTAAACATTACAGGACTTCCAAAGAAGATAATAGTCAAACCAGAATGGGTATCTTAGTGAATCTTATTGTCTTCAAAGTAGTTGCCTATGTCTTCAAACTTGATACTATCATATAGAATGGAACAGAGTCTAATCAGTCAAAACAAGATCGTGGGAGTACTACAGGACTTCAAAACAAGTTAATAGGAAATCGAAAAGAGTTACTATTTATATATCCTAATTTTTTTGAATTTTTTCTTTAATTAAGACAAACATAAGAAATGACTAAATAATTTTTTTGAAACAATAAGGGGGAGATTGAGATAAAACAGGACATAACAATATAACAATAGAGGTCACAGCATGACTGTTTCAACAACCTAGTACTTCACCACCTTATAACCTGACTTAATAGTAGTTACCATAGTGTCTTTTTCCTTGAAATATTTGGGTAAAACTTCATATACTCTAGCTTCAAATATTTTCATATCAAGAAGCCCAGAATAAAGCCTTTCTAATTAATGAGTGAAAACTTTATAAGGCTTCAAGGCCACCTAATGGGGAATCATGATTACCACATATTTTTATATATTTGAATCATTATTTACATTAGGGAAACTATTCGGTATTCACACATGCGAGATTGATTTATTTCACTAATGAGTATGGTCTCAAGCTGCGCCCATTTATTGATAAATATCTCAATGTGATCCTTCTTTATAGCTGAATAATACTCCATTGTATAGAAATACCACAACTTTTTTATCCATTCCTCAGTTGATGGGCACTTGGGTTGTTTCCAAGATCTGGCGATTACAAATTGTGCTGCTATAAACATAGGTGCACATATATCACTGTGGTATGATGCTTTCAGTTCTTCTGGGAATATGCCTAGAAGTGGAATAGCTGGAATAAATGGGATTTCCAGTCCCAACTTTTTGAGAAATCTCCAGACAGATCTCCACAAAGGCTGTACCAGTCTACACTCCCACCAGCAGTGCAGGAGAGTTCCTTTTTCCCCACAGCCTCTCCAGCATTTGTTGTCGGTTTTCTTGATCCTGGCCATTCTTTCAGGAGTGAGATGGTATCTCAGTGTGGTTTTAATTTGCATTTCTCTAATGACCAATGATGATGAGCATTTTTTCATGTATTTATTTGCCATTTGCATTTCTTCATCTGAGAATTGCATATTCATCTCAGATGCCCATTTTTGGATTGGATCTTTGAATTTCGGAGGTCTGAGTTTCTTTAATTCTTTATATGTTTTAGACAAGAGGCCCTTGTCTGAGAGAGAGTTCACTAAAATCTTTTCCCAGTTTGTGGGTTTTCTTTTCACTATGCTGGAGATTTCTTTTGACATGCAGAAACTTTTTAATAAGAAGTGGTCCCAGTTATTGATTCTGGGAAGCATTTCCCGTGCAGTTTGAGTCCTGTTCATGAATTCTTTACCTACTCCTATGTCTCCAAGGTTTCTACCTATTTTGTCTTCCAATAGATTTAGTGTTTCTGTTTTAATATTCAGATCTTTGACCCATTTAGATTTTAATTTAGTACATGGTGATAGACATGGGTCTAGCTTTAGTTTTCGGCAAATGGAGAGCCAGTTTTTCCAGCACCATTTATTAAAGAGACTGTCGTTCTTCCAGTGAACCTGCTTGGCTCCTTTATCAAAAATAAGGTGGTTGAGTGTGTTCGTAGTTGTGGTTGTATCTTCTAATCTATTCCACTGATCTTCAGCTCTGTTTTGATTCCAATACCATGTTGATTTTACTACTGTTGCTTTGTAGTATAACTTCAAGTCAGGGATTGTGATGCCTCCTGCTTTGTCTTTGCTGCTTAGAATTGCCTTTGCGATTCTAGGTCTCTTCTGGTTCCAGATGAAATTTAGGAGTGATTTCTCTAGATCTATAAGGTATGTTGATGGTATTTCTATTGGGATTGCATTGAATCTGTATAACAGTTTTGGGAGAATGGCCATTTTCACAATGTTTGTTCTTCCTATCCATGAGTAAGGGATGTCTTTCCATTTTCTGAGATCATCTTCAATTTCCTTTTTCAGTGTATTATAATTTTCACTGTATAAGTCTTTCACTTCTTTCGTAAGAGTAATTCCTAAATATTTCATTTTTTTGCTTGCTAATGTGAATAGTCCAGTTTCTGTTATTTCCCTCTCTGTAATTTTGTTGTTCGTGTATAGGAATGCTATTGATTTCTGAGTATTGATTTTGTATCCAGCCACATTACTGAATTTATTTATTGTATCTAAGAGTATTTCAATGGAGTTTAGGGGGTCTTCTATGTAGAGTATCATGTCATCTGCAAACAAT